AAATGAAGTATGAATCCTGCATTCTCAGCATGAGAATATCCGAAACTTTTGAGAGATCGATGGCATTTTCGAAAGCAATTAATAGTTCTCCATTAATAACTCTGCTCAAAAGTCACAAAATTGATTACGTATAAAATTGTATGAGCAATTATGGAACGAGATAGTTAGAGGTATCATTTGGAATAGAGAGAATAAGAACATGAAAATATTAATTAAAATATGAAAAGGCCAAAAACGGAAAGTTCGGCAAATTAGTAGAATTTCATGAGAATTTCATGATCAAAGGAAATTGAGAACAGAGAGCGTATTCTAAAGAATTGAACTCATAGTTCAAAAGAAGATTTCAATATCGTGTATATGAGGCGAAGCTCATTCATATCAAGAAAAGAATGTGCTGACGAAGCGTGGGTTTCGGCTACGGTATCCAGAGAGAGAAGTAGCAGGAAGAGAGGCTAGAGAAGAGGCATGAAAGCTAGACTGTTATGTTTGAGAGAGAGACGGGTGTCATAGTTCAGAAAAAAAATATTCATAGACGAGGAAGGATTATGAATGAAACAGAAACGAGAGAGTTGGAAGAATCAAGAGAGAGACTTTGTGATAGATAGTGGGTGCAGAGAGAGGTTTCGGCTATTGTATCTAATTGGCAAGACATTTAGAGACTGGGATGTGTCTATGAGAGTACCAAATTAGAGATGAATAGGAGAAGTGAGAGACAAAAAAAAAGTATGAGGAATCTGAATGAAAAGAGAAAAAAGATGAGGAAGAACATGGTTTGAAGAGTATACAGAGATTATAAGTCTAAGACTTAAGGCAGCGTGAAAGGATCGTCTCACATTCATTCAAATAAGATGAGATTGTAAGTGAATAGGGAGAGACAAGTACTTAATGAGAGTGTGTAAATGCGACAGGAAGCGCGAAGAAGCGAGATCATAGTAAATCTAATCAAACTCAAGATGAATGAATATGCTAGCCGAAGTCGAGAAGTATAAAGATTTGATAACGGTAATATTAGAATGAGATGAATTGTGATTCCTCAGAATGAAAGCTTAAGATTTTGATTGAATTATGATGTCAGCTAAGTGGTGGCTTTTAGCTTTAGTAGCTATCATCTATTCGTCAACTCAATTATCCGCACAATCTATGTGTCATCCTAAAAGGCAAAGTGTCATTCAAATAAATTGAAAATGCTGAGTTTTTATGACGTGTCTAAAAGCTTTCGTTGGAAAGCTTTCTCAATCCTGAGATCAGCACCTAATTAAATTTCCTTTCCATAAAGATTTATGGTATTCAATAAATAGAGCAGATTGTGAAAGCATAATTTCATGAAAGCTTCAATATGAGAAGTCTTTAAAATGAAAACAAAAAAAAAGTTCAATATGTAAGGAAATGAGTAACTCATTTCAGAGAATAAAGTGCTTCTCTTCGAAGAAGAAAAACAAGAGCTACGACGGATCATGGTGTATTTGAAGGCGCATATGTTTCCGGAACCCTTTGTGCTTCCATCGCCACCACCTAAAAAGAGATCTATCTGTGGTCGTAAACGTAAGATGATTACGATTGCTGAGGAACAAATGCATTACACACATTCTCATGCATTGAACTTCTCAATCGAAAACTTACTGAGCGATAACTATCCGCGAAAGCGGCAGATGATCAAAGCACCTGGCTCCGTAAATATGTTAACGGAAGGTCCAGCTGATAATGGTGTACCGAACCAACATAACCCCCCTGTCCTCCGGGTAAGTTCAGCAATTAAATAAATTTTTTAAAAGCTAATTTTAGAAGGGGAAGCCGGTATCCGGTAAGGCTGTCATAAGAACACCATCAACATCGCATCCGTCTTTTGTATCTCAGCAACAAAATGATCGATCCGCAGGGCTCTCAAACTTGGCAATTGATACCTTCCAGAACTTATCCTCTGACATCATGGATAATCCCAATAACGAAACACAACTTGTTCTGGTAAAAAAAGCACCACTACACAGGCCTATTCCATACCATCCAATGAGAGGGTTGATGCTTCAACAAAAAATGTCAATCTCAAATGATCAGGCAATCGACATGATCAATATTGCTGTGCAAGATCTCAGGTAAATACACGTAGCCAAACAAAAATAGAAAGAAATCTATAACGTATCATTTCCATACATCCTACAATCTTTATAATATTTCAGTGATAATGAAAGCCCACCAGAGCCTGGGCCATCTGGACAACATAATCCGGAGTGAACATCTGAAACTCCAATATTGAAATCCTTCAGAAATATACTAAGTATCTAGAATAGTTCAGTTCGAGAGAAAGAATCTAAATAGATCCAGTTGTAGTATGAGTGAGTTCCTAATATGTGCTTATTCTAAAGTATGATGGTATCAATATTGGAGTCAAAGCAAACCCTCTCAAACTATCACAAATTATCAAATGACCTGCTGTGTTCTTCAATTGCTAGTGGACGAATAAGTGTTTTGGCCTTTACTTGTATATAGGATATAAGGACGATCGTGTCCTTCATGTATTAAAAGCGGACTTTGTGTTTCTGTCTTATTTTATGTCCGCTTCTTGTTCTCATTTCATCACCATACCGTCTCATCCATCCTCTTCTTTGTTCCTCTCCCTCTAAACTCTTACCTCTCTATGTAAGCGATCCACTTACACGAGCTAGAACGATTCCTACACGAAAAAAAAATGAAACCATTCTTTCTCCTTGTGCCACCCATGGTTTCGAATGTTGCTGTTGTATATATTATGTTTGTATTTGTGTCATGTTTTGTGTTCTTTTTTTTTGTATTCAGACATTCAATGTTATCGAATGTCTTTCTGCCTCGGCCACCAACATCGGCCACTTTAGTTCCATTCGGACCGATTCGCAACCGGCCCATTGAATGATGAAATAGTAACCAGCCCACCCTAACCGGGAATGGTTTACTTCTGCGAAAAATCCTAGCGCAAATTCGCGACATATAACTCGACGTATTCACAGCCCGTGAAATATCGTCTGAGAGCGTTATTATTAGTGTGCTATATGCACCATATTCAGTCTCCCTCTGTGACTGCACACTCCTTCTCACTCTTGGTTGAAAATTCTGCTCCAATTATTTTTGCGCGTAGTCTCAACTCATCACTAGTTACAAATAGTAACGCCCTATATGAGTGCGCTAGAGACAACAAAGCCATGTTTTCTGTAGTTTTTCTCAAAATACAGACACTTTTTACCATCCATTTCTTTGAAGAAATGCCAGAAACGATACTTATGTATAGCGTTTCCACTCCACTCGATACATACATTATATATGTTAATGTATCAACCAAAAAAATTTAAAAAATTAACAAAATCCAAAAAAAAAAAATTCTGTTTAATCCTTCCTATCTATCTCACCCATTCTCCTTAACATATGATCATGACTTGACAAACCATCATTCAATTTTTCATATTCTAAAAAGAGAAAAACTAAAAAAAAAAGTTAAAAATAAGAAATAAAAAGATTTTTTTAAAAAAATCAAAAAAAAATTAAAATATTTCAAGTTCTAAAATAGAAAAAAAAATTGAAAAAAATTGAAAGGGGATAAGTTTTAAATGTGCTAAAGGGCAGCACCTGTTTAGTTCAATTCTTTCGTTCAATTCAAATTGAAATTTAAAACAATTTTGAAAATGAAATTGTAATAATAATTAATCATATAAGAAAGAGTAAGAAAAAATGAAAAAAAAAAAAAGATGAAAAATGTCAGTCACGATCACATATGTTCTTGTAATATCCACTCTTAATACACACAACTTCACTACCCAACACCTACAGCAGTTAATTCTGTCAATTATCATTGTTTCCTTATAATTAGTTGAAACAACAGCAATCTGCTTTTTTTCATGTATTGTAATATCTGATCGCTTGTTGTGGTAGAAGAAAAAAAAAAGAATAAAGAAATTTATTCGAAAAGAAAAAGCATTTGTTCAATTGATGAATAGTACAATGAAAATGAAAATAATATACAATTATATAATGATATAAATTACATATAATCTATATAGTTAAAAATGTATATAAGTACAGACTACGTTATATACTAGAGGATATAAAACATAAATGATGAATGTGATGCTACATTGTAATAGAATTCTTGACATTGCAACAGCAGTAACAGAAAAGACATATTCGCATATCCACTTGACATTCTTTTTTTTTCTTCTTCAATGAACAGAAAGCAGATGTGCCGGAAGTCATAAGGCAACCCAAAAACCACTATGGGCAGCGTTTCTCATGCCAACCATCATCATTCACTATATACCCTTCAATTTTCTCAACAAATTCTTCATTTCGTACACTATGGTTAAGAAAACAATATATAATAGTAAATAATAGATATTACATTCATCTTCTTTTCTTTTTTTTTTATTATCTCCCATATGTCAAGACATCTTCAGCTAACGCATCATTAAGATTACGGTAATATAGAATGAAGTTAATCTTCTTTTCTACGAAAATAAATTAAATTTTCTTCTTCCTTAATCGATTTTTCGTAAATAAGTAAATTGTGTTTCTTAATTCATTTCTTGAAATGCTGTTCTACACTTATCATTATGTATTACACATTTGTTCCCTCTGTCTCCTTTCTTATTGATTTATTGCTGAAATGACCAGTGGATAGGAAAGCGCAGACCGATATGTCGGGGTCAAGCGTTGACCGCGACGCACTAGCCTGCAGAGCGTTGTAATCAATGCGCGCCTAAAAACAAACGCTAACCGAAGGGTCGGCGTCGGCCATCTCTTTATTTGCGCGTTCGGACTATCGTTTGTTTTATTATAACACAAGCCTTTCAAGTGATTGTTTGATTGAAGATTATTTATTGATTGTGTACATCTTCTGCTAATTTCAAAGGAAAAGCGTTTTTACGACAATGCGCCGCACTATACATACGAATCGATATTTTCATTTTGCCTCCTTTTTTTGTTATTTTTCATATTTAAAATGTTTTATTGTTTCATTTTCAGAGGTACATGTATTAGAAATGGGTGCTTATTATGTTAATTGCTTTTTATTTTTGTTATTAACATGCTTAGCATGTGTGGAAGGTGAAATTAATTTTATTTTTCAATTATTAGTCATCATATTGCAGGCTCCAAAGAGCCACCTATCATTGTCGAACATCCAATTGATGTGATTGTGCCTAAAGGTGCTCCTGCCACATTAAATTGTGCAGCTCGTGGTGTGAATGTATCATTTACATGGTATATTCAATAATTTTATTTTAAAATGCATTTCAATTGTATAGGTATCGTAACGGTGAGCGAGTAATAACAAATAAAGATCAAGCACATAGCCATCGAATTTTATTGGATTCAGGCTCTTTATTTTTGTTGAAAACAAATATTGGTATGTAAACATTCATCTATCTTAGCTTAAAACTTATTATTATAGGTAAAAATAACAAAGATGGTGATGCGGGAAACTATTTTTGTAAAGCAAAAAACAATTTTGGAGAAGCAAAATCGAATGAAGGTTCATTGAAGATTGCCATGTTAGGTGATGAATTCAGAGTTCGACCACGAACTACCATGGTAAGATTTTAAATATTGTCTTTCTGACATGTGTAATTTAAGAGCTTGGCTGGATCTCGCGCAATATTGGAATGTTCTTCTCCACTTGGGTTTCCGGAACCAGTTGTTTCATGGAGGAAGAATGAAAAGGAATTTTCTCTGAATGATAATGCACGTGCCACTCTTGATCCTACGGGTAATCTTATATTCTCACCGGTGAGTTATCGAAAAAAAAGAAACAATAACCAAATACTCAATATTTTGTAGGTAGAATATTCTGACTCCGGTACATATCAATGCGTATCTATAAATATGGTTGGTGAACGTGTTTCAAGCCCTGCTCGTTTGAGCGTTTACGAAAAACCTCAGTTTATAAAAAAACCAGAAGATGTTACTTCTGAGTTAGGAGGGTCCATTCTATTTAATTGCACTGTTGGAGGAGAGCCTCAGCCACAAGTTTATTGGACCAAAAAAGGAGATCAGATGCCTGTAGCTCGTGCTTTCATTGCCAGGGATAATAAAGGGCTACGAATTGAAAAGTGAGCTGCAAAGTGCCATAAGTAGATAAATTCTGTTTAGTATCCAAAAGTCAGATGAAGGAGAGTATGTTTGTCATGCTCGAAACCCAACAGGGTCCATCGAAACATCAGCGAGGCTGAGAGTCCAAGTAAGACAACCTTCTTCAATTCTTAATCATTCTTTTAGGTTTTACCAAGTTTCGAGATATCTCCTATTAGTCAAGAAGTCATGCTAGGTGGTCAAGCTGTTTTTCACTGTGTACCTAACGGACAGCCTGCACCTGCATCTTTCTGGAGTAAAAGTGGAGACCAGGTAAATATTTTATATTTATATTGATGTTAATCTACTTTTTTAGAATATGTTTTTTCCTGGATATGTGAGCGCTGACAGCCGGGTGTCTGTTCAACATAACGGAACACTGATTATAAAAAATATAAAAAGTGAAGACGGCGGCTCATATACATGCGCAGCCATGAACTCTGCAGGAAGTGCTTTGAGCAAAGCTAAGCTAACTGTTCTGAACTCGGGTAATTTTTCCATCTTTTTAATAACAGTCAACAAACATATTTAGCTCAACCAATTAATTTTCCTCCCATCATCGAGAAACTTCCGCAGAACCAAACTGTTGCAGTGGGTATGAGAATGAAAATGAAGTGTACCACGAAGAGTGAAACTAATGGGATGGCAGTTTGGGAGCATAATGGAAAAGAAATTGATATGACTAGATTGGGATTACGCCAGATAGATGATGGAAGTTTAATTATAAATAGCGTCAAGTACGACTTGAATTAAGAGATTCTTCACAGAAGTGTTATCGTTCAGATCTGAAGATCAGGGTGTTTACACATGTACTCTTACATCAGCTGGTGGAAGGACTCAATTCAGTTCGATTTTGAAAGTAGAAGGTTTTGAATATATTAATATGCATCCGGAGCATAGTGAAAACTTTTAAGAAAAAGGAGATTTCAAAGAAACGAAAGTTATTGGAGACTTGGAAACGACCCTCTATGAACCCGGAAAACCCGTGCTCGTAGAAGTGACGGATTCTGAAATTGAACTTGAGTGGACTCCACCAACTGTTAACGAAACAGCAGTGCTCAGTTACACGATAGAATATTATTCTCCGCAGTCCAATAAGGTAATCCTAGATGTTCAGAACCCCTGATTAATCATTTCCAGACTTGGATCACTCTCTCTGAATTCATAAAAGGAACTAAGTTTCGGGCGAAGAACCTGAAACCTTCTTCCGAATATGTTTTTTTTGTGAGAGCCCGAAGTGAAAACGGCTTAGGGCTTCCCAGTCTTTTATCATCTACAATAAAAACTAAAGAAGGTAAAATTTCTTTCGAAAGAGCTCACATCTATATTTTTTTATAGTTCTTGGAGATATATCAGCAACAGATATTGAAAATATCAACACTCGACTTTCCTCTGAACAGATAATAAACTTAAAAGAGGTAAAACAATTATTTTTCTTTATTGAACCGTTTACTTCGTTATTCAGGCACGAACTCTCAATGCCACTGCTATACACTTGTTTTGGACAGTTCGAAAGTATCGAGATATCGTGGATGGCTTTTATGTCAAATGGAGAGGTCCATCTCAGAACAACAGTCAGCGGTGAGAAACTGTTGAAAAGAGACATCAATCACTCAGATAAGTTTCAGCTCGGTTTTAATCAGAGGAGCCAATGATAACGATTGCATCGTAAATGAGCTTCAAGCTTTCACGAATTACAAGTTCTTCATTATTCCTTTCAAAGGGTCTGTACAGGGTGTCCCATCTAATTCGATGGAAGGGTTGACTGCTGAAGCAGGTAAATCTCGTATTCGCCACGTGAAATGATTTTTCGGTTTAGCACCATCTCTCCCACCTCTTGAGGTACGCGTACGCATGTTAAACTTGACGTCGGTTCGTGTTTCGTGGAAACCACCTCCACTTGAAGGATTAAACGGAATTTTGAAAGGCTTCCAGGTATGATTGATATTTGAAAAAAATTTAAGTCGTTCAAATAATACAGATTGAAATTGTCGGCGAAGGAAACAAATACAACAGAAATATTTCCACGAAAGAGCGCGCTGCTAGTGTTACGCTATTTCATTTAACACCTCTTATGACTTACCGCATCAGTGTTGCAGCTCGAACTAATGCAGGTATTGGTGTTTTCCACCCTGTGGAAATAATTAAAATGAGTAAGTGTTGTTGCCATAGACATGTCCTCCCAACCTTGATTTAAAGATACCGAAACTCTTGAACAACATAGGGAGCTGTATGGGGAAACGTCTTCTCCTATTCTAGCTCTTCTTAGACAGCCATGGTTTTTAGTTCTTTTAACAGTTTTGGGTTGGATTGTCTTGATAGCCATTGCCGTGTTCCTATTCATGCGATACAAAAGGAACTCATCCGGAATTAAAGTTAGTGCCATTTAATGGGACTATTATCGAACTTTAATCCTCAGAAACGAAATGGATCATTCATAAAAATTAATGATGGATCTATTCACGTTGGCCAGAACACATTATGGGATCAAGGTGGTACTGTTCATTTGGGTCGATTACCTCCTGGAAATAGGTTAAACTGAACATATGCCAATGCTGATTGTATCTTCATGTTCTAGGACTATTATGTCTCAACCTTTCATATCGGGGTCACCTGCTGGGAGAGAAATGCATGAATACGCAATGGGTGGTCAAGATGGAGTATATCATTATGCTCAAGCACCTGGCGATAATTATTCCAGCAAAGTATATAGATTTTAGTAGATAACTATTCATTTTTTCGTCTTAGTTCCAAGACGATCCGTCACCTTATGCTACAACTACGATCGTGATGAGCAACGACTCAGCAGCTTTTCGTAACGATGGCACCATTCTAAGGCCACCACCTAGTAACACCATACCTCATAATCCTCCTTTTGGGTAAGATTATTGAGGACAAATAGGAAGTAATTATTTATACTTTACAGAATTGAAACGGAAATTGAGAGGATCAATGACAAGTACATTGAACGAGCTACAAACAGAAGAAGAAACAATCCAAGTCCTCCACAAAATCCTAGTTATGGTCACCGGTTAAAAAATACTATTGGTTCCACGCTCCCACGTTCTCCTCCGAAACAAACACTGTTTGATTTCATTCCACCTCCGCCCATGAATCCTCCGCCTTTATTAAACAATGTAAAATATTTGTTAGAGTAGAGACATCAATAACAATGAAATTACAGATAGCTGCAGATCGATACGAGGAAGCTCGACGAGCAGCCGACGGAGCGATTAGTCGAACAGCGGGTACTTGACCAAATTTTCGAGCCGTAATCGAATAACTTTTTTCCAGCAGCTAGACTACAAAAATCGAAAAATGCAGACGAGTTAAGTCAGCGTTCTTCCCTTTTATCCGATGAAGATGAAGAGCTACAATCATTGCACGATGGTCCACTCACATCAACACATAAAAAAATGCCAAGAATGGGTATATCAGCTACTTTCCTAAATTCCAACGATTAATACTTACTTAACTATTCATTTCATAATTCATGTTCAAAAGATCTCATACGTGATTGAAGCATAGGATTTTTCATAATATCTCATACATCTCTACAATGATTCATGCTCTAATCATGTTCAACTACTTATATAATAATTGTTAAAAAAATATTTTCTGATAAAAAAATAATTATGTGTATAGTTTAAATACATTTTCTATTCGTGACTAATAATTCCTTCTTTTGAAAAGAAATGTGTTCACTCCTAATGATCTCGTCATGTCATGATTACTTACATATTATTTAATATTTATACCAATAAACATTTTTCTTCCATTATTAACGTTTATGAATATAAAAAAAAACATTAAAAGAAAGTAACAAAATTAAAATATTAGTTGTTGCTTCCTAGAATTACTTCTGTTTCAAATATTGCCGGAAAACACTATTGGAATAAAGATATGTAAGGATTAGTCCTACTCCCCATGCCATAAGCTTCTGTCTTCCATTCCATGGTAACACTTTTGCCAAAATGAATAGTACCAGTGCTTGGACCATAGTTTTGAATGCTTTTAATCTGAAAAGGAAACTTCTGTAAATGGAAAGAATTAAAAATTACTCGCCTATAGAGATGTGTACGAGCTAAAGGCAAGTTGTTGTCTTTCAGAATAAATTTCTTAATGCCCATAGCATAACTATAAAGATAGCTATTCCAATTGATTGTACGCACATCGAAGTCAAATTCCTACAAACATTTATAAATTTTTTACGATGGTGTTTCGAATTACCTGTTGATCTTCTATGCTCATTTCTCCCAATAGTTCAGTCAACCCTTCGGTGCGGAATAACCATCCGTTCAGAGTGAAGAAATGAAGTGTTTCAACCATCTTCCAGACTTTTCCATATAATCTCGCATATCTATAAGCAATCGATAACCATCTGTCTGCATTGAAAATATATTAAAAACCTTTTTTTTCTTCCTATCAGTGAGTTCATAAAATCTAAGACAAGTGCAGGTAAGTAGTGCTTGTAGTAGAAGTTAAACTCGAACACTGAACGATTTTTGTGCATTTGAGTGGAAGGAACTCCGATGCATTGCTCTGATGGGTACTGAAATCAAGGACATCATGTAATTGAGTGGCCACTTCCTCGTTACTTCGTTATAGAATTCCTCAAGATAATAAACTATCTTCTGCCATTTAACAGGATTCAAATCTCCGGTTGTGCAGTGCATGATTGGAATTTCATTAGTTCTGCAATCAAATAAATCTACACCCTTAGTAATGAAATTCCTACTCTGTGAAAGCTCTGTAAGAAGCAGCAACAATGATCATGTTAGCTACAACATCAACAGGGACGATGTCAGCAATAGCATCTACAGAACCGCACATATTAGTGAGCACACCCTTTCCGACCTAGAAACAGATGTAATTATTGTAATACTTATGGTTCTTGATATACAGCAGCAAAAACTCCGGTAGCACCATTGATGTTGTCCGTCCATCCTGGAATGGGATCTTTCCAAGCTGCTCCAACGATCGAGGGACGAATGATTATTAAAGGCATATCTCTAGCTTCTTCTTGCAAATATTTCTAAAAAAAACTCAACTACCAAGGAAATGTTAAGAAAAAGCAAACCTCTGCTAAGGCTTTGGTTAAAGTGTAGGTGTTTGGACGCTTCCCTAAGAGCTTTGGAGTTATCTACAATTAACAATAGATTGATGCCAAAAAGAAAGCTTGCCAAACCATATCCAAAATATCGGTCCCCAACCAGTTTACAGCGTCAATTATAGGCTTTGGAGGAACAGGTGGCTCATAAACCTTAAATATAGGCTTAGCTTGAAATTATTTTATTGTTTACCTTCTCTTGAGTTTCCTTCAGATCGCAGTTAGCATAGGCGGTTGAAACATGAACAACGGACTGAAAAATATACAAACTAATTTGAAGAGTGTGAATCTCGAACTAACAATCAAGTTTTTCATTTTTTTACAGAGCTCAATGACTCTGCTCGTTCCAGTTACATTCATTTCCACAGCATCCTTCAATGGCTCATCGAATCTCACTGTAGCAGCACTGTGGATGCACACATTCACCTGAATTCAATGAATAAGCAATGAGGAACCATTATTTGAACGAACCTTCTCTATCATCCTTTCCTCCTCTTCTTGGCAGATACCAAGATTCTCGTGTGTCATATCACCTGATATAGGTATAATTTTTTGAAATACGCTAGCATCTCTTTCCTTCAATCTTGTAAACAATGGATCCTGTAATAGACAAAAAAAGCAAAATACACCTCTTATCTAGTCAATGTTCGAAAAACTATACTTGTATGTCACTCACTCGAAGAACTTTATCTAATCTCTGTGCTGGAGTCATGCCCTTTGCTGGACGAATAAGAAGGTAAATATTTTCGATTCCAGGAACGGACCATAGCAACTTCTCGACCACAACCTGATAAATCATTAATATATTACAATAAAAATACGCAACCAACTTTTCCGAGAAATCCTGTTCCTCCAGTTACGAAAACAGATCTATTCTCATACAAGCTTTTGACGTTGAAGTCCATGCTGGCAGCTGTTATAATTACTGGAAAAAAAAGAAAATCATAATCAATGACACATCTCCTTCTCAATAATCTACGTTTAAGAAGACACTTTAAGAAAGGTTTATACGACAAAAAAAAGTGTTTAACAGGTAATATTGTGAAATGCATGAGTGATGAATGAAGAATAAGAGTGGAACCACACAGGTCCACCATCTAAAACTAGGTTATAGATAATACTTTGAGCAGCTGATAAGAATACAATTTGCAGATAAAGGATTGTAGAGGAGTGTAAACGAAGAGAGGGAGGTTACAAAGAGCAATCTGCCAATCATA